AAAAGAACATTTAGGAAAAGCGAAGCCTATAGAAAACTACAGTCCAACAATCAGTAAATGAGGAAACCAAAATATGAAAGAAAGCAAAACTATCAGTAAAAAGTTAAGAAACCCACAACAAAACAATAACCAAGGAATATGAATCATAATCTGTTTTCTCGTTTTTAAATAACAGGATCTGCTTAATTGGATTATCGCTTTTTCTTTATCCAAAACAAAATGCTGCTAAGAAAGCTTCCCGCTAAGAAGCTATTTTTCTATTATAATTAAGTAAAGCCAACATTTTGTAGTTGAAAGAAAACCCAAAAAACCAGAACATACATTGTTGTCATAATACATACCCAAAACAAATTTTGTTATTTTAAAAAATTAATAAAAAAAATTTTCTCGCAGTCAAGATATACATAAGAGAGCTTACGAATCTTCCAACAAAACCCTCGAGCTTACTTCAAGTAGCTATTGACCACGAATCTTCCAACAAAAATTTTGTCACCGGTGAATCTGACATTCCAGGTGACAAAGCCCATTGAGACTTAGAACTCTTGTACCCAGTAAGCGAATTAGCCCTCTTTATCGCTGTTTTCAATGTGAATATCTTCAACACAGGGGAATCACTGTTCACATTCACATTCAGAATGTTGGAATCTGAAGTTCCTCTTCTACCCCTTCTTGTCGTTACATCATTCATGTACCTCGATGGAACCTCCACTCCCAATTTTTTGGCACCATATTCAGATTCTAAATCAACAGAGTTCGTCAAAGATAAGATTTTCTTCGTGAAGACAAGGATTTAGCATTCTCGTCCACAGACAATCTTCGCGGAAAAATGGTGGAACCTTTTGAACCGTGTTTCTTAACAGAAGAAGAAGATGACGATGATGATGATGGTGTTCCCAAACACCTCATTGAACCACCAATGATTATTGGTCTATCGTTTTCCTTGGAGCTAATGGAACTTGTGATCTTGGTTGTTTTCTCGTCGAGTTGCTCTATGATCCTGTCCTCGCGGATGTGATCGGCGAGAGTGCCGAAGTTTTTCTTCATCGCTGCCGCGGAAGAAGGGTTCTTCTTCAGTGATTTGGGAACTTCGTCGAGAGAAGTAAAAATGTGGTTCGGTTTTAACCGGTTACAAATAGATTTAGAATTGGTTCAGAATTGATTTATTTTAAAATATTAAAAGTGGTTCTGGTTTACAATTTGGTTTGGAAAAACGGTTTTTTTAATTCAATTTGGGTCGGTTCTAAAAGTGGTTATGGTGCACCGGTTTTTTTGCACAATCCTACCCGGGGGCGTCATTTAGATACGCTGGGTTCTCTCGGCGGCACTTAAAGACCCCAAATCGTAATTATTTTCATCCACGTACCAAATTCGTAAATTTAAAGCAAAAAAGTCCCAAATTGATCAAACACCCCCGAGGGAATACTTAGCGTAGAGAGAGAGAGAAAAAAAACTTTAACTAGCTTAGGGCAGCTGTTAATCACTAGATGTAGGCTCGGTTTTTAAAACGGACAGCAAGACACCGACTCTGTATAGCGGTTTTCTTGTAGTGAATTGTGAAAGGGAATTACTTTTCTTATGTTACGTAAAAAAGTTATTATCTCCTACATTCAAATTTTTCAAATGAGTCTCACAAGATTTTTTTTCTCTTACCTTCAACTTTTTTCTTTCTCTTAACTATTGTTTGAGCATGAGATAATATTTCTCTTATGTAACATAAGAGAAGTATTACCTTGTGAAAAAGAAGTTTATTACAAAGTATTTTGTTAAAAGTCTGCATCCATCTTAAGTTATCCATTCGCACAAATCTTTGCCCACTTTTATATGATTATTGTATTATTATTTTTTACCATTTATCATTGATATATTGTTTTTTCTCATATAATTCATGAAAGTAGGCGCTGCAATACTTGAAAACATTCCGGCCGCTTGAGTTTATATATATAGGAATAGATAAATGGAGTAAACGCATATTAATTAATTAAGTTTTGGACATATATATTATGCCAATTTATTAAGTGGAAGGAGAAAATTATTGTATTGAAATCAAGTCACACATGACCTGATAAGCAAACGTAGATATAAAGATAAGGCAGATATCACAGAGGGAAGTCACTGGCTTCCACGCTTTTCTCATGCAAGATCTTTTGCATCTTCTACACCTTTTTTCTCTACTAGTTGTTGATTCACGTCATCAACAACGCCGTTTGGCAGCCACTGGGATTGGGAACTAGCATTCCTGTAAATAGCATATAGCACCATCTGAACTAGCCCCAGAACAAAACCCAACGCATTTGGGAGCTGCATAAAATGGCCAAAAAAAAAAAAAGCGTTAATAGCTGATTATTAATTGATAATGTTGCTTTCTTATTAAACCAACTCAATGTGAAAGATACTTACAGCAATGCATATGTCCTTCAGCAAGAGACCATGTGTAAACCACATTGTGGCACTTAATGTCTGGAAAAATGACAAAGTTATAGGCATAAGTTGTACACTCTTTGTTCGAATAACCTGTGCCTGCATAGTGACACATAATAGGCAAATGATGTAATTAAGTCCCATATTGGTTAGGAATGAAGTAAGTAATGATCATGGGACCTATAAATCCAATCCTAAAGATTTGATAGTTGGCTACTTAGAAGCATTGAAGAATTTTTACTCACCACAATGCTTAGAGGTACTGCAAAGACACTCACTGCTTTTGCGACACAAATCCATCCAAGGACTTGCACACTGAGGGAACCATGTAGAGCAAAATATGTGGTGCAGAAGATAAGGGCGAAGGAGACCACGGTCATCGCCACAAATAGTTTAATGGTTAAGATCTGCAATTAATTAAAAAGTTTAGTATAAACTTTCATGACAAATGTGATATATATATCAACATAGTTGGGGTTCATATATATACCCTGGCATCCTCAGGAGCATAGATTATGTACATGATAATGTAGATAATCTCTATGAAACATCCAGTTGAGTTAATTGAAAGAAGGAGAAAAGCATCTTTTTTGACAAACGCGTAGGATAACCATAGCACACAATTGAATAATGCCACCAAGTAAGGCAATGATTGGAAACCTTCAGTTGATTTCTTTTTGTATATTTTGTAAAACGTTGGCCTGCAATTCAGGAAAGGCAAAACACGGTGTTATGTTTAATGATTAAAATTTAAATAGGTCTTACTCATTAGTTAAATGGAAGTATAACAATTAATTGGTATATATAATATACTTACAGCAAAAACACCATGAAGGAAGTGATGTTACCTAGACATCAAAAGGAGAATATGTTAATTTGTTTGCTTTAGAAAAATATAGCTATGATGATGACCATTGTGTGTTACCTAAGCCAAAAGTAAAAGCCAAAGGATTGTTGATAGCCATCCTCTCTCTTCTTTTCCTCTTTACACTCAATGAGGATGTGTTAGCAACCGGTGCTATTTATATACAAGCCGACATAGAGAGAGAAAGAAAAGAAATGATCCCCGTATTTGTGGTCCGCCCAATAAGAATGATACACTTGGATTTTTAGGGGGAAAAATTTATTATGATCCCCGTATTTGTGGTCCGCCCAATAAGAATGCAACACTTGGATTTTTAGGGGGAAAAATTTATTATGATCCCCGTATTTGTGGTCTGCCCAATAAGAATGCAACACTTGGATTTTTAGGGGGAAAAATTTATTACGATCCCCGTATTTGTGGTCCTCCCAATAAGAATGCAACACTTGGTTTTTTTTTCTGTCTCCAATAGAGAGAGAGAAAGAAAAAAAAAGAAATGGTACAGAAAAAATAAAGCACATAAAAAAGGGAAAAGATAGTACAAAATGGAAAAATTTATTAAAATTTATTATGATCCTCGTATTTGTAGTCCTTCCAATAAGAATGCAACACTTGTATTTTTTTTTCTTTTTTTCTCTCTCCAATAGAGAGAGAAAGAAAAAATGGTACAGAAAAAATAAAGCACACAAAAAGGGGAAAAGATAGCACAAAGTGGAAAAAATTATTAAAATTTATTATGATCCTCGTATTTGTGGTCCTTCCAATAAGAATGCAACACTTGTATTTTTTTTTTTTTTTCTATCTCCAATAGAGAGAGAAAGAAAAAATGGTACAAAAAAAATAAAGCACACAAAAAGGGGAAAAGATAGCACAAAGTGGAAAAATTTATTACGATCCCCGTATTTGTGGTCCTTCCAATAAGAATGCAACACTTGTTTTTATTCTTTTTTTCTCTCTCGAATAGAGAGAGAAAGAAAAAAAAAGAAATGGTACAGAAAAAATAAAGCACACAAAAAGGGGAAAAGATAGCACAAAGTGGAAAAATTTATTATGATCCCCGTATTTGTGGTCCTTCCAATAAGAATGCAACACTTGTATTTATTTTTTTTTATTTTTTGTTCTCTCCAATAGAGAGAGAAAGAAAAAAAAAAGAAATAGTACAGAAAAAATAAAGCACACAAAAAAGGGAAAATATAGCACAAAGTGGAAAAATTTATTATGATCCCCGTATTTGTAGTCCTTCCAATAAGAATGCAACACTTGTATTTCTTTTTTTTTTTTTATTTTTTTTTCTCTCTAATAGAGAGAGAAAGAAAAAAAAAGAAATGGAACAGAAAAAATAAAGCACACAAAAAAGGGAAAATATAGCACAAAGTGGAAAAATTTATTATGATCCCCGTATTTGTAGTCCTTCCAATAAGAATGCAACACTTGTATTTTTTTTTTCTTTTTTTCTCTCTCCAATAGAGAGAGAAAGAAAAAATGGTACAGAAAAAATAAAGCACACAAAAAGGGGAAAAGATAGCACAAAGTGGAAAAAATTATTAAAATTTATTATGATCCTCGTATTTGTGGTCCTTCCAATAAGAATGCAACACTTGTATTTTTTTTTCTTTTTTCTCTCTCCAATAGAGAGAGAAATAAAAAAATGGTACAAAAAAAATAAAGCACACAAAAAGGGGAAAATATAGCACAAAGTGGAAAAATTTATTATGATCCCCTTATTTGTGGTCCTTCCAATAAGAATTCAACACTTGTGTTTATTTTTTTTTCTTTTTTTTTCTCTCGAATAGAGAGAGAAAGAAAAAAAAGAAATGGTACAGAAAAAATAAAGCACACAAAAAAGGGAAAATATAGCACAAAGTGGAAAAATTTATTATGATCCCCGTATTTGTGGTCCTTCCAATAAGAAAGCAACACTTGTATTTAATTTTTTTTTCTTTTCTCTCTCTCTAATAGAGAGAGAAAGAAAAAAAAATTGGTACAGAAAAAATAAAGCACACAAAAAAGGAAAATATAGCACAAAGTGGAAAAATTTATTATGATCCCCTTATTTGTGGTCCTTCCAATAAGAATGCAACACTTGTATTTTTTTTTTTCTCTCCAATAGAGAGAGAAAAAAAAGAAAGAAATGGTACAGAAAAAATAAAGCACACAAAAAAGGGAAAATATAGCACAAAGTGGAAAAATTTATTATGATCCCCGTATTTGTAGTCCTTCCAATAAGAATGCAACACTTGTATTTTTTTTTCTTTTTTTCTCTCTCCAATAGAGAGAAAGAAAAAAAAAAGTAATGGTACAGAAAAAATAAAGCACAAAAAAAGGGGAAAAGATAGCACAAAGTGGAAAAATTTATTAAAATTTATTATGATCCCCGTATTTGTGGTCCTTCCAATAAGAATGCAACACTTGTATTTATTTTTTTTTATTTTTTTATTTTTTTCTCTCTCCAATAGAGAGAGAAAGAAAAAAAAAAATAAATGGTACAGAAAAAATAAAGCACACAAAAAAGGGAAAATATAGCACAAAGTGGAAAAATTTATTATGATCCCCGTATTTGTGGTCCTTCCAATAAGAATGCAACACTTGTATTTCTTTTTTTTTATTTTTTTTTCTCTCTAATAGAGAGAGAAAGAAAAAAAAAGAAATGGAACAGAAAAAATAAAGCACACAAAAAGGGGAAAAGATAGCACAAAGTGGAAAAATTTATTAAAATTTGTTATGATCCTCGTATTTGTAGTCCTTCCAATAAGAATGCAACACTTGTATTTTTTTTTTCTTTTTTTCTCTCTCCAATAGAGATAGTAAGAAAAAATAGTACAGAAAAAATAAAGCACACAAAAAGGGGAAAAGATAGCACAAAGTGGAAAAATTTATTAAAATTTATTATGATCCCCGTATTTGTGGTCCTTCCAATAAGAATGCAACACTTGTATTTATTTAATTTTATTTTTTTATTTTTTTCTCTCTCCAATATATAGAAAGAAAATAAAGAAAAGAAATGGTACAGAAAAAACAAAAACACACAAAAAGGGGAAAATATAGCACAAAGTGGAAAAATTTATTATGATCCCCGTATTTGTGGTCCTTCCAATAAGAATGCAACAATTGTATTTATTTATTTTTTTCTTTTTTTTCTCTCTAATAGAGAGAGAAAGAAAAAAAAAGAAATGGAACAGAAAAAATAAAGCACACAAAAAAAGGAAAAGATAGCACAAAGTGGAAAAATTTATTAAAATTTATTAAAATTTATTATGATCCTCGAATTTGTAGTCCTTCCAATAAGAATGCAACACTTGTATATTTTTTTTCTTTTTTTCTTTCTCCAATAGAGAGAGAAAGAAAAAAAATGTTACAAAAAAAATAAAGAACACAAAAAGGAGAAAAAATAGCACAAAGTGGAAAAATTTATTATGATCCTCGTATTTGTGGTCCTTCCAATAAGAATGCAACACTTGTATTTATTTTTTTTTCTTTTTTTCTCTCTGCAATAGAGAGAGAAAGAAAAAAAAGAAATGGAACAGAAAAAATAAAGCACACAAAAAGGGGAAAAGATAGCACAAAGTGGAAAAATTTATTAAAATTTGTTATGATCCTCGTATTTGTGGTCCTTCCAATAAGAATGCAACACTTGTATTTTTTTCTTTTTTTCTCTCTCCAATAGAGAGATAAAGAAAAAAATGGTACAAAAAAAATAAAGCACACAAAAAGGGGAAAAGATAGCACAAAGTGGAAAAATTTATTATGATCCCCGTATTTGTGGTCCTTCCAATTAGAATGCAACACTTGTATTTATTTTTTTTCTTTTTTTCTCTCTCCAATAGAGAAAAAAAAAGAAGTAATGGTACAGAAAAAATAAAGCACACAAAAAAGGGAAAATATAGCACAAAGTGGAAAAATTTACTATGATCCCCGTATTTGTTGTCCTTCCAATAAGAATGCAACACTTGTATATTTTTTTTCTTTTTTTCTTTCTCAAATAGAGAGAGAAAGAAAAAAATGTTACAAAAAAAATAAAAACACACAAAAGGGGAAAATATAGCGCAAAGTGGAAAAATTTATTATGATCCCCGTATTTGTGGTCCTTCCAATAAGAATGCAACACTTGTGTTTATTTTTTTTTTCTCTCGAATAGAGAGAGAAAGAAAAAAAAAAAGAAATGGTACAGAAAAAATAAAGCACACAAAAAGGGGAAAAGATAGCACAAAGTGGAAAAATTTACTATGATCCCCGTATTTGTGGTCCTTCCAATAAGAATGCAACACTTGTATTTTTTTTTTTTTCTTTTTTCTCTCTCCAATAGAGAGAGAGAGAAAAAAAGAAATGGTACAGAAAAAATAAAGCACACAAAAAAGGAAAAATATAGCACAAAGTGGAAAAATTTACTATGATCCCCGTATTTGTGGTCCTTCCAATAAGAATGCAACACTTGTATTTCTTTTTTTTTCTTTTTTTTTTCTCTCTAATAGAGAGAAAGAAAAAAAAAGAAATGGAACAGAAAAAATAAAGCACACAAAAAGGGGAAAAGATAGCACAAAGTGGAAAAATTTATTATGATCCCCGTATTTGTGGTCCTTCTAATAAGAATGCAACACTTGTATTTATTTTTTCTTTTTCTTTTTTTTCTTTTTTCTCTCTCCAATACAGAGAGAAAGAAAAAAAAAATGGTATAGAAAAAATAAAGCACATAACCTAATTGTTCCAAGATCAAATACAAGCCTGGATCTTAGTCCTTCTTCCTAATAATTCCACCAAAGAACCTTTCATCTCTAAGCAAGAAAATACCTCTTCTCCTCTCTTTAAGCTTGCGGCCTTGTATGTTCAAGGAGGAAGGAAGTTCATTCAAGAAGATTCAAAGTAGTCAAAGGTCAAGAAGTGTTTCCTTAAGTCGTTGATCATCATCAAAGGTAAGCCTATGAACCTTCTTGGTTAGGAATGACATGTAAAAGCATGAAAGTGATATCCTAAGTATATGATCCCTAGAAGGCCGAACCATGTATGATAATTATAAGCATGAAGAGATGTTTAAATGATATGAAAGATGATGAAATGATGATGTTAGATTAGCATGTTTAGTAGCCTAGGTTCTAAATCAATTTTGCA